TGTGTGTGTGTGTGTGTGTTTGTGTGGTTTCCAGGGATCGGAGGGATCGTCATCGCTCTAAAAGTCGAGACAGCAGCAGTCGAGGAGACAAATCTGTGACCATCCAGACTCCCGGGGAGCCGCTGCTCGACGCAGAGTCGACCCGCGGAGATGACAGGGTCAGTCTTTTTATTTTCATCACGAGTTTGTATGTTTTAAAGGTGTTGGATGTAAAACGTAGTATTTTAAGTGGAGAGGCGTCTCTTCATCGAGGAGCCTGAGGTCACGGTGTTTTTGTTTCCTACACGAAGTGAGGAGACGTCGAAAGCGTCACAAATGATAAAAAGCTTTTATTTCCTGCATTTCAAATTAAAACTCTGGCGTCCCTGTGTTTATTATCACGATTTCAGACGGTGAAGATTATCTCTACTCTGTTTTCTCTCTCTCTCTCTCTCCTGACAGGATGATAACTGGGGTGAAACCACCACGGTCGTCACTGGAACCTCAGAACACAGCATCTCAAACGAGGACCTGACGCGCCTCTCCAAAGATCTGGAGGAAACGACTCCGCTGGAGTGCAAGCGCTTTGTCGGCCCGGCTCTGGGAGGCTGCCTGAGCTTCTTCGCCCTCGTCACGCCTTTAGCCTTCCTCATCCTGCCGCAGGTCCTGTGGCGTGACGCCCTCGAGCCCTGCGGCACGCCCTGCGAAGGCCTCTACGTCTCCCTGGCCTTCAAGCTCCTGGTCCTGCTCATCTCCTCCTGGGCGCTGTTCCTCCGGCCCCCCCGCGCCACCCTGCCGCGCTTCTTCGTCTTCCGCTGCCTGCTGATGGTGCTGGTGTTCCTGTTCGTGGCGTCGTACTGGTTGTTCTATGGCGTGCGGGTGCTGGAGCCCAGGGAGAGGGACTACAGGGGGATAGTGGAGTACGCCGCCTCGCTGGTGGACGCGCTGCTCTTCATCCAGTACCTGGCTCTGGTGCTGCTGGAGGTCCGACACCTGCAGCCGGCCTTCTGCCTGAAGGTGGTCCGCAGCACGGACGGAACCAGCAGGTTCTACAACGTGGGCCACCTCAGGTTAGTGACACAATGTCGAGGTCACTACTACATGACGTGCTCGTGAAATCTATTCAGAGGACCAGAGCCTCTCTAATGGTGAATCTGCAGAGTTCACACGTGTGGTGATTGCATCAAACACAGATTTGAGGGTTTTGTTGGTGATTTACAAAATTTGTAGGCGTGAATTTGGCACATCAGTGCTCATGCTGTTAAAATCGGTGGAATTATAAATGGACACTGTTTGTTTTTTTAACCGTCCTCCTTTTCTACCACCCATGTTTTTAAGAAAAGTCTATTTAAGTTCATCGTTCTCATCAAACACTTTTTTTTTTAAATGTCCCTGTGAACCTAATAAGACTCATCTGTTTAGAAGTTTCTACGGAATTAATAACATGTCTGCCATGAATTTAATCTGTGTGATATAGGAGATATTATAAATATTTAAATACATAAACATCAGATTATAGAAAACGGAAAAAATGACCCGAACAGCTAAGATTCTGAGATAAACCTGCTTTGGTAAAAGTCTAACTGATTTTTAATTCTCAGAATTAGTTCGGTGTTTAAATGTTCCCAGCAGCTGATGTCTGACCTCTCTGTGTCGTAGTATCCAGCGAGCAGCCGTGTGGGTGTTGGACCGTTATTACAACGACTTCCCCGTCTACAACCCGGCACTGCTCAACCTTCCCAAATCCATCCTGTCCAAGAAGATGACCGGCTTCAAGGTTTACTCCCTGGATGGTAAATTCAACCTCTCGTCCATGACTCATTTCATTTGCCTGTTTTATGACTCTGATCTGCAGGAGTTTATTTTTCCAACATTGTTTCCCTCTTCTGCTGAATACCCGGAACGCTCCTCCACTAATTCTTCTTACTTGTCTTGTAGAAAACACCACCAATAACTCCACGGGTCAGTCCCGGGCCATGATCGCAGCTGCTGCCCGGAGGAGAGACAACTCCCACAACGAGTTTTACTACGAAGAGGCGGAGATGGACCGCAGGGTCCGCAAACGCAAGGCCAGGTCAGTAGACTGTGACTGCGACTGTGTATTTAACGTCTACACAGACACGGAGACCTCGTGGTTCCAGAACTGAACGGAGCATCTGACTGTAAAGCTGATGCTGATCCGACTTAACCAACTAGAATGTTTTTATTATTTTGACAGGAAAGCAAACAACGTCCATCAGTGTTTGTTTCTCTCTCACTCTCAAGGTTGGTGGTGGCGGTGGAAGAAGCCTTCACGCACATCAAGCGTCTCCACGAGGACGAGGTCGCATCGTCCCCCAAACACCCGAGAGAGGTGATGGATCCCCGGGAGGCGGCTCAGGCCATCTTCGCTCCGATGGCACGGGCCATGCAGAAGTATCTGAGAACCACCCGTCAGCAGGCGTTCCACAGCATGGAGAGCATCCTCACACACCTGCAGTTCTGCATCACGCACAACATGACGCCCAAGGTGAGAGTCTGTGATCAGAGTGACCACGACGACCGGTTAACCGGAGATTAGAAATCTCTTTTTCTAGATTTATTCAACAATCACCGTGAATTTACACAAGCTATGATACAAAATCCTAAATATACAGACACGTGAATATAAAATAATGAATAATATATCTAATGCAATTTTAATTAATCACTCAAGAGGCTTTTAAAGCTATAAAAATAACTTTACTACTAATCCCTCATGATCAATTAGGCCTGAAAATTATCTTCATTATAGATGTGATCATTTTCTCGATTTAATAGATCTAGAGAATATAATGAAACCAACATTAACATTCTCCATAACTTACCAGTGATGTCTTGTTTTATCTAATCAACAGTCCAGAGCTCCTCCTCGATCAACAGAGAAAAGCAGAATATTTAAAAAGCTGATGATACCAGCAGTTTTATTTTAGTTTGAAAAAACAGAACAGTCATTACCGATTATTCCAACTCAAACATGTTCTGTAAAACATCAAGCATCTAAAAAAACCAGAACGCTGAAAAAACAGCAGATGATTCGTGACAGAAGCAAAAATAAAATCTGCTTCACTCAGATCAGTGCAGATTCTAGTAAACTTTAGTTTTTTAATTGAATTAACATTAATGAGATTTTTTATTTTATTGTTACTGATAAAACTTGTTGTGATTTGTTTCCATGACACCTCTCCTCTCCTCTCCCCCTCCCCCTCCCCCCCGACAGGCTTTCCTGGAGCGTTACCTCTCCCCCGGCCCCTCCGTGCAGTACCAGCAGCAGAATGGCAGGGGGCGCCAGTGGACCCTGGTGAGCGAGGAGCCGGTGACCTCTGCCCTGCGTCAGGGGCTGGTTTTCTCTCTGCGACGCTTGGACTATTCCCTGGTGGTCACGGCCATGCCGCTCCCCTTCCTGCGGCTCGGCGAGGAATTCATCGACCCAAAGAGCCACAAGTTCGTCATGAGGCTGCAGTCGGAGACCTCGGTGTGAGGGGCGTCCCCCTGAAGGACCACCCCCCCCCTACCCAACAACCTGACCGCTTCCTCTCTCCCATCAGGACCACTGACGCGCGGGACACGTGGCGACCTCCTCCTCCTCCTCCTCCTGTCTGTGACTAAGAAACCATTTGAGGAGAAGGAGCGTTTCACACCTGACACCTCCCCTCTGTTTTATGATCATCACAGATGCACGGGAATCAAACTGTGATCAGCTCGACGATTGTCTGAACCTGGAAATAAACGGATGCCTTGACCGTTTCTCCATCTGTGTCTCGGTCTTTATGACACGCTGTAAAAAAAACAACCCTTGTTTGTAAAGGGGACTTTTTGTCTTCGGGCCTTTAACCACTGGACTCTTTTACTGTGCTGATTCACACGGACGCCACCGGGGGGGGGTGCGGTTACATCACACGTGTTACTTCCTCTCTTCTTGTGTGTGTTGAGAACAGAGCGACTGGAGCTCGGCTCTGACTAAACGCTGGTTACCACTGCCTTCGGTTCCCTGTTTCCTCTCAGATGACGAGGACTGTTTTTGTCTTTTTACATTAGAGGGCGTGACTTTTTTTTTACTCACAGAACGAAGCATCGTGTGGAATCGACACGTCGCTCCTCCGCGGCCTCGAGGCCAAACTGTGCTTTTTATCGGACTATAAAGAAAAACGGAAGAACATTCCTAAGTTGTTGCTTCTCTGGACTCGGTGTGTTCGTGATTGTTTTTGAAATATGCAGCTTCTGTTTTATTCTACACTGGCCTTTTTTTTTATACTATTAATATTTCAATTTTAACAGGAAGTACAAACACCCTGTATTAACATGCGATCTGGTTTAGGACGTTAAAGCAGAAGTCTTTTTCTCATTGTCAGCAAATCCCACATGAGACCAGAAAACCTCATGTGTTTGGACCAGCTATCAAATAAGTCTTTCTTCCTACTGAAGTAAATCTTTAAAAACACATTTCCCTTTTTAAAGGCTCAGTTTTGTGTTTTTTTAAAGTGGAATAAGTTTAATTAAACTCGGACAAACTCGTTAGGAAGATCAATTAATTTATATTGTAGTATCTTGGAGATTTGATGACAATAAGTAAATGAAACATCACCAGACGTACTCTTTAATACAGCTGCTGATGGGAGTTGTACAGATGTGCCACTTTCTTAAAGAAGAACTCAATCAGCTGAAAATGAATCCACCTGTGAACTGGATTCTGACTAAACTTTTTTTAATATTCGGGTTCGGTCACGTTGGCTGTTCTCTGTACTTGATATTTTTCACTGCACGTGCCTGTAAATAGGGAAAACAAGAGGTTCGGTTCGGTCTCGGTCAGATTTCTCTCTGAACTCTGAACCTGCCGCAGCATCTCTAAAGAAAACTCTTTGTAGAAAGAAAAGACGAAATACGGTTGTTCAGACAAAAACATTCTCAACCCAGGGTCCAACGAACTCACACGTTGTTGATGTCGCAGTTTTTACTTTTAGAATTTTTGCTGAATGATTCACAATCAAAAAAAAAACTGTAAAGAAATTCAGTGTTTTATGTTGGGAAGTAAAACGAGAGGTTTGAAAATAATAATTTGCAGAATAATCAATAATAAAAAGCAACGGTTCAATGCGGTGGCTTCAGTTGTGGAGGAGGAAACTGTCCACATCTGATGCAAGAGACCAGAGACGGGAAGTGACATCATCCACATGTCAAATGAATCCAGCTCCGTCTGTCTGGGGGAGGTCGTGGGATGTAGTTGGCAGCTCTGGAAAGAAGAAGTGGCTGTACATGGACCGTGTGTCCTCAAAACGTCCACTTCTCGTGAAGGAGGACGAAAAGTTTTGTTTTCAGCTTTTGTGACGAAGCATTTGTAGCAAATCCACGAAAGAAAAAAAAAAAAAACTTCATCTGAAAACGTCCTAATTGCCAAATTGTTCTCACGAGCTGGTGACGTGATTGGACTCCTTTCGTATTCGATCATGAAACCAGATCCAGGTTGCATGTTGACGCCAGGTGTAGATGGGGTCTGTTGTACATGTGAGGAAATCAGTACTAAACAGGCGGCTCCAGTTAAACTACGAGCTGACTTCTCTTTTCTTTTTTTAAATGCATTTCTGCAAAAAAAATCCCAAACCAGACGTGTGATTGTAAGTCCTCACTGCAGCTCCTCTGCAGCTGTAGCACATCAACCCCCCCCCGCCCTTGTGCCACGAGCTGCAACAAGCACAGTGAACACGCTGCCTCCTTCCCCTCTCGGCCTTACACCCTCCAGATGTGCGGGAGCGGCGTCGAGGCCACACCTGTCCTCACGCCGACTCCTGGAACTCACTGCAAACCCCGAGACGTTGAGATACGAGCCGCTCGGACGTCTCGACCTTTACTGTACGTTTGAGCCGCAGCACGACCGACTGTTTCCTTCCCGGTGAAAATGTGGTTTTAAAAGCCCTTTATGATCCAAATACCAGGTCTGATGGGTTTGACATTTCATCAGTGATCAAAATGCAGATTTGTGTTTTTTTTTAAATGCATGCTAGAGTTATTTCAGGCTCCAAAGCTTTTTATAATAACTTGTTTTCTATCATTTTTAAGGTGCCTAAGTTAAGACGATGCAATTTTCCTGAATGTTTTTACATTTGAAAAGCAAGTGGCTTGTAAAAAAAATGTGTAGATTTGTCTTGTATTTCCTTCCTTTTGGTAACTGTAGCCTGTATAGTGTGTTCGGCATTATTCCATTATTAAACCATTTATTCCTAACGGGTCTTTGTTTCCTGGCCGTCTTTGATCACCTTTGAAGAACTGATGATCGCGCAGGAGTGGATTCTCTTTTGTGGTCTTGTGACAGGGTCAGACTGGTCGCCTGAAGGTTTCTGTTCCCACTGTTGAAATAGACACAGAAAAGTTTACACAAGACTTTGATAGAGGAACTCATCTGAAGAGGGGGACGGCAGTGTGGCAGGCGTGTGGTTTCACAGCCTCGAAACGGACAGAGAGCTGCGGACTTCCTGCTCGCTGCTGTTACAGCTCACTTCAGAGGGTTTTCTTCGATCTCACGGACGACAGAGCGACAACGACCCAGACCCTCCATTTCATCTGCATCCCCCCCCCCCCGGTAGGTAAGATCATCCCCTCTCTGATGCTCAGTCTCACCTGTGCTGCTCGTGATTAGTAAAGTCGTTTCTCTCAGCTCTTTAGTTTGATGATAAAAATCTTTGAATCTCTAATGGATTTCTAAAAAGCCTGTTGCACTGAAACGCTGCCTGACGACGATGATGAGTGATGAAGGTTGTGATGGTTTCTGTGCAGAGGCCATTGAAGACATGAACGTATGTTACATCCTGGATGGGATCCTCATCGTCTACGGTCTCATCCTGACCGTCTTATACTGCAGACTGAAGGTAGGACAAAGAGGAACAACAGACACCACCACGATGAATGTTAGACCACAGGATATCAGAAGATGGTCGAATGTGCACAAGAAAAATATAATAAAACATTTACATGCAACATTTCAAGACTCTAGATCAAATTTTATCTGGTTTATCAGTTTATAAAAAATGTAGGTCACATCGGAAAATTATGTCACGCTTAGTTTCTCCATAGTTCTTTAGAAAGCTAAGTGGAGATATGACTTCCTCTAAATTTCTCTAGAGAAATGACTAACTCACACATTGGATTGTAAATTAAATCTAAATATCAAGTGAATCTTTTTTTTTTTTTGACAGATGGGTCCAGCCAACGAAAGCCCCAAGGTAAAAACAAAAGTAATATATTTTGACTTTTAAAATCTAAATGCATAATAGAGTGAAATGTCATTTGGCAAAATATATTTATCTGTAAAGCTTCGGCATAATTTCTGTGGCATTTCACGGTTTCTGTTTTAGAATTAAACCTCACTCTGCCATTTCCTGTGGGCTCGAGCTGAACGCCGACCTATATTATTTACACACTCACAGTTTCCACCACCTTCACACCAAGTGTCCCATTCTACTTCCTGTTTCAAACGTGAACAATTACTTTGAATTGGTCTTCAAATGAGAAAAGAGGACGTTGATGTTTCAGCACAATGTCACATTTATTAAGAAACGGTTGCTTCAGATTTTTTCTCTGTGATCTTTGTCCACTCCACAGAAGCAGCCGGCTGAGGGCATCTATGCGGTGAGATTTCTTTTAACTTGAAATTGGCAGATGATGGAAAAGTTTACAACACAACGTTAAAGGATGTTTATTTAAATTCACTCATTCACTCGTGTGTGTGTGTGTGTGTGTGTGTGTGTGTGTGTGTGTGTGTGTGTGTGTGTGTGTGTGTAGGGTTTGAACACTCCCTGTAACGACACATATGAGACCATCGGGATGCAGAAGAAGCCGGTTGTCTGATGAACAAAGCGTCAGTGTGAAGACGATGCTGAGAACAAAAACATATACTGTATATTTTGTTATTTCGACTTGTGGCGGGCTTGTGCATTGTCTTTCTTAACATATATATATATATATTTTTTTTTTTTTCTTTCCATCCATCTCTGCGTGAAAAGATCTGCTATGAAATGCTAAAACTAATAAGCTAATGTAAATGTCATGTGGGAGAGTTTTCACTGTGTTTTACAGCAGTTCTTTTTTATTTTTTGTGTCTGTTCATTTGTTAGAAACATGGAGACAAATCTTATCCTCACAACGAGGGCTTCAGCAAATCAATGTTTTTTAATCGGCTGATTGTCTTTTCAATTTATTTTAGTAAATGTCTGAAACGAATGAAAAGTTCCTTAAGTCCTTAAGTTATTCTCTTTGTCCAGAATCTAAAGGAGGAAAAACAGACAGATAGAATCTAGAATGAATAAACCAGACCAAATGTTTTAAATTACACATTTTCTGCTGATTGACTAATTAATTATTGACAAGAATCTACCTACAAATTGATCTGATTCGTCCAAATCCTATTTTATAGGCTTTTCATAATCACCCAAAACCTTTTGTTTCACAGTTTTTCACTCAACAAGCTTCAATTGTGTGTAAATGTTTTGATTTGGTTTCATGTCTACTGTTGAAAATCTTGATTATTGCAATTAAACAACCAAAAACAACAAAATTTGAATGTTTTATATTCATGTGAGATTCTTTGTGGCAATACATTTGAATTTCATCACAATAAAATGGGAAAATCTAAAAATAAATCTATTTAGATTTTCCAAAATAAAAGTCTCAATTAACCAGAAACAAGTGTTGTGAGTCAGTTTGAGAATCCAGGTGGTTAAAAATATAACATCGTAATAAATAAATAATAGTCACACATTTCTTTTTATGTCTTGGATCAGTCGCAGCACCAGAGGGCATCACACACTGTCACTGTGAAAACACTTTAATTATATAACTGAAAACATTCTCAGAACAGACGAGCCTGCGAGCCGTTTCCCCTGAGGCTCGGCTCAAACAACACTCACACACACACACACACACACACACACACTCACACACACACACACACACACACACACAGAAACTGCTCGACTGTTGCACCACAATCAACATCACCACAATACACAATGTTTAGGGTCACGATTTTCTTTTGAACGCAGTATTTATCAGCATATAAATATACATGTTGTCAGAGTTATTCATATTCTCACTGATTCTTTTAAACATGTGAAACTTTCCTTTCCTTGCCACAGGGTAAACACACGACTCTGAATGAACCTGTTTGTTCCTTGTGTTTGCTGCTGCTGTTTGTTTTATTCTGGATTATTCCAGTAAACGATCAGCTGGGACTTGTTGTATTGTGAGCTGTATATTTTGGAGATAGAAAAGGTCTCATCTTAATCCACCATCTCACACAGCTACTTTACATGCATGTGGATCAAGCTTTCTTTTGTCTGGGGTTTTATCTGTGAAGCGTCTCCCTCCGCTGACAGTGACTCATGCAGGTAAACAGAAAGACGCCAGCATCTGCCTGTCCCGCAAATACTGTCTGTATATTCGGGAGAACTTACCCGAACAATCACGCTGTGTCACGTCCCTCTGGGAAAGTCGACTTGTGACTGAGGTTTGATTTATCTCCAGGTGATGATATCACCAATCCATCAACATTCATTTGTATCTGTACACAAAAGACACTGAAATGAGGCAATAACCCCTAAAGTCACATTTTTAATATCCAACATGAAACTGCAGATGAATTTGACTTCACACACAAAGTCAAGCGAGAATCGTTCCCATCTGTTTATGTAGCTGTCCTCCAAGAAAAACATCATTACACAAGTAATTATATTCAATTTGATTAGTTGGATATTTTATCTTGATGAGTCTGTGTTATAGTGCTGAAAAAACTTTGAATGACGATTAAGTAAAGAACTGGTTTATCATTTCTGAGCCAAAAGATAAAAACTAAATGTCTGTACCTGATTTAATACAACACAAACAACACAGCACCAAAACATGTCACTCAAATTCTAACGAATCGAATTGTGCAATACCTGTTTTCTACCTGTATCATTTCAATACCACAGACGTGCAGTCCTTTTTAACACATATATAAAATATACATGGCATGTATTACTTAAAGGTCCAGTGTGTAAGATTTAGGGAACTATTGGCAGAAATGTAATGTAGAATAATCCTCATGATGTTTTCACTAGTTCTTTTCAACTAAATTGTATGAATTGTAGTTTTCTTTACCCCAGAAAAGGCCCTTTATATTTAAATACTTTATATTTAAATACTTTATATTTAAATACTTTATATTTACATCGAGGGGACCCTCTCTACGGAGGCTGCCATGTTTTTTTACATTAGTCCAGACTGGACAAACTAAACACCTTTTGAGGTTTCATGACAACCGAAGCTACAACAGGTTCTTCTTCATGTTTGGAAGGAGAGGGGGGGGGGGATCCATCTTTATTGACTTTAAATAAAGATGGACGACGTCATTTTCTTTATAATACGACAAGGCTCAATGCTCAGGTACAGAAATCTAAAGTGTCCGACTCACCTGAACGCAGCATCCCCATGTGGGCGCGTCGTGCAGCGCGGATGGGCGGGGCCTGTGCAGACAGGTGTCCAGAGTCCACCTGAGCTTCTTCTTCTTCTTCGTGTCTGTGCGTCACTGACACTCACACTGCTCTGTTTGCTCTCTGCTGCTCTGTGTTTCTTATTTTCCTCCATAATTCAAACTGTGTCTTTATTTACTCCCTGCTCAGCTGTTTCTCCTCCTCCTGCTCCTCCTGCTCCTCCTCCTCCTCCTCCTGCTGCAGCTGCGGCCTCGACATGAAGTTCAGACTCTTCACAACTTCCTGCACCAAACTTTGCTGTCGGCAGTGAGCATCACTCTGAGGAGACCTCCTGTCCCACCTGCCGGAGCCACAGATCGATCATGGGAGCTGATCGACCCCCACAGGAGTAACAGGAGTAACAGGAGGAGGACCACACCGCAGGTTCAGTTCCAGGAGCAGAGATGGAGTGTGTGAGGAGTTTGACTCTGCTCCTTCTGTTCGGTGAGTGATTCCGTGTCGTTGAACACACGACCTCGGGGTCAGTGCTGCTTCATTCAAACTGTGCTGCACGTTCGACTTTCACTGGATAGAAACTTACACTTCATCTTAGATCGTCATGAAAACACTGAAATGAAACTTTAGTAACTTTCAGGAGCTTTTTATGATCTTTAAGTGTTTAAGTAAAGTTTGTATAGACTTAAAAAAAAAACCTTAGAGGGCCCTGTGTGTGTGTGTGTGTGTGTGTGTGTGTGTGTGTGTGTGTGTGTGTAAATATGTTCATGTTTCATTTATACATTACAATAGACTGTGTATGTGGTCAAAAGTATCTGGACGTGGAGAGGTGTCCAGATACTTTTGGCCATACTTTGTAAACTGTAATGTATTGTGAATTAAACAACACTCACAACAATCAACGTGGCCAAAAGTATCTGGACACCAGGTCGGTTGGGCCTCTGATTTCCAGCCCTCGCCACATAGCACAGCAGAAGGAGGTGTCCGGATACTTTTGGCCATACACTCTATACATTAATGTATCGTGAATCAAACTAAATTAATACATTTTCCCGTCGATGGATAATCAATGTGCTCATAAATAATTGGGCAGCTCTCTCTTTGGTTTGGTTCAGGCCTTTAAATCCACTGAGGTGAAATCCTAACGATGTTCTAAACCAGTGTCTGAAATCTGAAAAGAGAAACTTCTCTTTAAAGATTTAAGATTTTATATACGTACGAAGAATCAGCTTCTCACGTGGCCTTAAAAACATTAGGGACCATTGTTGTGTGCTTCCAACCTGGACAGGCCCTTTCTTATTTCCACGACATGAATCAACCCCCGTGTGCCAGGTCCTTAAAGAAAAAGTCTTCCTTTAACATCCGGCACTTTAGTCTGGATCTCAGACACTGTGCCAGACCTGATCACCCGATATCTGTGCTGGACCTCACAAACGCTCCTGTGGCTGGCTGGGTGGGTGGTGGGGGGGGGAGAACATGAGAAGGTTGCAGCCTGTGGATTTGGAATAAGCCGTTTGACAATCGCCCGTGGGTTTAATCCTGAGGTGTCCACATTCTTTGATCAGCTCGTCCCCGCACAGACAGAAGCGGTGTGACAGAATGCAGCTCGGTCACATTCTTACTCCTCCAATCAGAACTTCTTGCCCAATCCGTCTCTTCCTGTGCCTGTGACTCACTCATGTGGACTCCTTGATGAATCGTGAAACTCGTCGGAGGTCACGGATCAAACCGAGGGGCTGGAACTCCGTGTTGATCCAATTAAAAGTCACTCTTTTAATGACCATATTCACCTGCAGCCTCCTCAGGTGTGATTGAGTTACTGCCGTCCTGAATGAACAGGAAAAGCTTGAATGGCAGCCTTGTGACATTCAAGTGAACTCGAGTTTTTGTGTCTGTGTGTGTTTAAGTCTTTCTCTCAGTTTGATGTTTATCTCACTTGGTGCTCTCACCTCTTCATTCCTCTGTTTTTTTTTCTGCCTCTTTCCGTCGTGTCACTTGAATGAATGATTCGAATGATTCTCTCTCGCCAACACTGCTCTCCTTTGTTGCTCGGATTCAAACTTTTGTTTCCCATCCTCTCTCCCTGTCGCCACGTTTTGTCGATGGGTCCTTGCTTCACTTTATCTGTGGGAGTTTGTGTCCCCTATCAGCTCCGTCTGTCTAATCATTATCAAAGCTCATGAATCAGTAACCAAACAAAAAGTGTTCACCTCAAATCAAAGGGGAATGTTTGGTTTTTCCTGTTTGCGGTGTGGATGTGTTTCTCTCTCACTTCTCTCAGTCCCACGGTTTGATGTGGACTCCCTGTGAGATTAACCTCAGTCGCTCTCCGTCATTAGTCGACGCTGACGCATTGATGATAGTGAATCACCTCACGGATCCGAGTTGATACCTTTGCTACCTTTATTTTTACTGGAGCTGTAAAAAGTGATTGTTGTGTTTTTACTCATGTCTGTTAGTTTCTGTATTTACTACTACTACTACTACTACTACTACTACTACTACTACTACTACTATGACTACTACTACTCCCCTACTTTGCTGGGGGACGAGTCCTGGGCCTGAGAAGGACCCAGAACATTTAGGTGGTTTTGAAATCACTTTCTTCAGCTCTGTCTTATGAGAAATAAATAATCTAGGTTATCAGATCAAGTCTATCTATCTATCTCTGTCTCTCTATCTCTCTTTCACTATCTCTCTATCTCTCTTTCACTCTCTCTATCTCTCTTTCTCTCTATCTATCTATCTATCTATCTGTATATCTGTCTCTGTCTCTCTCTCTCTATATATATCTATCTATCTATCTCTCTCTCTGTCCCTCTCTCTCTCTCTCTCTCTATGTAAGCATGACGGACAATAACAACATTGAGAATAATTAATTTGAAATGATACAGAATTGATAACTGCCGATATGTCAACATCCATAAAATACTGTTGAGCGTTTGATGGAAGATGAAAACTACTTGGACGTATGAAACACGGATGAAACCCTGAATCCTTCCAAGATTCATCCAAACTAGAAAAGTCCTCATGATGTCATAAAAAACATAAAGCAATCCTCCATGAGTCGTTGAAACAGAATCATCCCAAGGATTCAGGAATCATGACTTTGACAGAGTGAAGATTGAAGCATGTCACTGTGTCGCTGCAGCTCTTCACCAGCTCCTGCAGCAGACACTTCTAAACACTGAGCTCTAATGAAAGCTCTATTGTTCAGGTCTTTATCTCCGTGGCGTCGCGGCAGGAAGATCAGCGTCAAACCTTCAATCCTCCGTCCTGTCCGTCCTCTGTGGAGCGTTTGTGTTTTCTCTGCGACTCAGTGTCAACACACAAGCAGGGTTCGGTCCAGAGGCGACCGCCCGCAGGCGTGACTGAGTTTAAATGTTTGTCTGTCTACACATAAAGCGTGTTTGGGGTAAACCTCACCTCTCAACAACATCTCCTGCCGTCCTCAAAAGGAAGAGTTTTATAGACGAGGGATGGATGGAGTTGTTTTTCTAGGAAATGAAAAAGTAAAATGGATTGTTCCAGGACAGAACTGTCAGGAAATGGTCATCGAGATCAATTTGTGATCACCTGGGAAATCAGAAAAATGTCAAAAACATGGTAAAGAAAGTGATTAAAAATATTCTGGATCTGTGCTTTTGTCGAAATTTGTTCCAAAATCATTCCTCGTATTCATGTTTTGTTCAAGATGAACTGTAATAAATCTGGTGATCCTCTGATTTTTTATATATCACACTCATCAGCTCAAAACAAAAATTATCTAAAATACTAAATATCCCATCAGGTCACTGCATAAACTGTGAATAATACGTTTTTAAACCAGTATGTTTATCAATTATTTGATCAATGAAATGTGAAAAATAATAGTGATCCCATAAAATTCTAGCTTTTCTTCTTCCCCCTCCCTCCTCAGTGGTGAGGGGGCACAGTGACTTTGTGGAGCCTCCTCAGCCCGACACCTCCCTGCGCTCGCTGGCAGAGAGTCAGACCAGGCTTCCCTGCCGCTACCAGGCGGAGGAGGGGGAGAAGGTGGTGCAGGTCACCTGGCACAAGGAGCTCAAGGACGGCAGCAAGGACCAGATCATCACGGCCCACTTCGCTGAGGGCCACACAGGTATAACCTGCAGAGTCTGGGTTCCTGCGGAGGAATCGAACCTCTATCTGTCTGTATCTTGGACGTATATCAGCCCTGGTCTGTTTTCTGTTCTCAGAGTTCGGGCGTTACTCCGGTCGGGTGAAGTTCGAGAGCAGCAGCCCCACAGAAAACTCGGCTCTGCTCATCCCCAACACAGAGGAGTCGGACGAGGGCAGCTACATCTGCCACATCTCCACCTTCCCCAACGGAAACTTTGAGAGGCGCATCACGGTGACCGTCTGGAGTAAGACTCATCCTCCTCTTCCTCTCTCTTCTTCTGCACACTTTTCTAATCCCAGCTGCTGCTGTAATGACATTTAACTAAAGGATGAACCGGTTTGGAACTTTTTTTTATTTCTTTGGAGTTTATAGTAGTTTGAGTTAAACCTCCATCATATCTACACATTTTTTACATTGAACCTTTGTTATATTTCTATTCATTTAATTTATATTGCACCACACTGTTCTTTGGCACTGAGTATTGAGGATCTCCTTCTTCGCCATCACAGTAGTCGTGGGAATGTTCGTTCTCCTCAAAGTAAAACCTGCAGCGATGAATTTCAGCTCTTAACGACTTTCTCATCGTACTGCCAGTCATCAGCGGTGACGGCTCCCGGCAGAGAGAGCGTGTCCGAACACGTCGCACGCACCAACACACGAGTAATTGACCACGGAATTCCTTTCACTCTTTAAACAACATTCAATGTACACACACACACACACACACTGTCCATACATCATTAAAACCTGCAGATCCAGATTTTTATTAATCCCACTTAAATACAACACTTTCTTTTAAAACCTTATCTTGTCATTGATGTTAAGTTCATTTTTTTTAGAAATAGAATAGAATAAAAAGCCTTTATCGTCATTATATTGTACAGAATTAACACATTCAGTAGTGCTGCTCCTGTTTGGTGTATAAAAGTTTTATAAAAGCTAAAAAGAAAACATTTCTAATGCAATTAAAAACCTAATTTAGATTAAAAACACAACCAGATATAGAAAAGTGTAGATTAAAACCTGATATAACATAGTTTCTGTAACTTTATTTGTGTCTGAGGTTTATTTACTAAGTTCCTGTGAGTCAGTGAGAGCCCATCCCACACACCAGCTGTCAATCAAACCCTGTGGGCGGTACCGTGACGTCGTGTGTTTTGGGGGTTTCTGTCTATGAAGCTCAGGTGCTGCCCTCGTCTTTGTCTGTTAATCCACGAAATCTACTGCTGCTAATTCTAACTACGTGTTTTTCGTTCCCTCCTGCGTTAATAATCCAAACAACAGCAGGAGGAACCAGACGCTGTGTGTTTAGGACAATAGAGGCCGTCACCATCGGGGCGTGAATCTCAATCATGTCAAACCTGTTGGTGACTGAGAAAACAAAAATGTATTTATGTGAAAATATCACATGTGACATTTGCCCTCTTGCAAAATAGTCTCGTTGCGCAACTCTGATGAAGTTTGTGTTAGAGTTGCATCATTTCTCTTGTGTTTCTATTAATTGTGAAGAATGTCTAATATTTACATTTCTTTTATTCTTGATTGTTTGATTGATTATTTCTCTCTGATCCAGGATGTTTTAGGTCTTTCATATCTTTTTATTCTTATCTGATCCTCAACCTGACATCTGTCCATTACCCACACATGCAGAAACACTGTGTGAATTCCTGGTTTTAATTGATCTAATTACAGTCAATTTAGATAATTTCAGGTAAAGACTAATAAGCTTTGAACAGGCGTCGGAAAGTATCAATTAAATCTAGATGACACAACTCCCCCGGGCTATAAGTACATGTTCAGGTTCTCATTTTCAAAAGACTGTCAAGAATTAGTTTTCTCTAAACAATGTTTTTATTGTGGTTTTTACAAGTAGAACATAAAACAGCTCTGTAAGACATGAAAATATAACTCAATCAATTGATACAGAAACATTATATTGCATCATAGACAATAAACTTCTTTCAGAAAGGTGGAAAAATAAATATTTGGAGCCCGGAGAGAATTATTTTT